CGCTGACCTGAACGTATTTATAGCGGAGAGCTTTAACGTGAAGAGGAGGAGACGTATGCTCGTCTTGCTCTTCCCTGTGCATCTGCTTATGGCCTTCCTTCTCCTATTCTTAGCAGTTGTTAAATTGTGTTCAGGAGATTTATTCTCGCGTCTTTTCAGTTGTTTGTGTTTGCTGTTCTCCTTGCCAACCTGGCAAAGAGTTTTTGTTTTTTTTTTTTTTTTTTTTTTTAGCTTCTCTCTGACTTCGCCCTAGTGACCTCTGCTTGCCAGGGATCCCGCATGGTCAGTTGTGCCCCTGGTCTTTTCATGCTGAACATGGTGCACATCGCTATTTTTGTGACTTGGACTATCTTGCCACTGTGCTGGCCTTGAACAACCTAGACTACTCCATCCTAGAGTGGGCTTTGTATTTCTGCCACATCTTCTCATGGAGAGGGAGAGATATTTTCTTTCTGCAAACGTGAGAAGGTGCACTGAAGCACTCATAGTTCTCACTGTCGGTGGTCATAAATGGGTTCAACTTCCAGTTTTGGTCACAGAAGCAGGGAGCTAGAGGATCCCTTGCTTTAGACAGTATTCGTGTTTTCAATGCAAAATGCATGTATTCAGATTAGTATAACTAATAGACCTGCATGTAACTTCTAACAAGTCCTTTGACGCTACAATAAAACAAAGGGTTTTGGTAATGCATGGTCCTTCTGCAGGTGCTACCATCACATCTGGAAAGGCTGTGCGCAGAGAGCAGGAATTTTCTTCTGCCTTTAGAGAACCTTCCAGGTTTTCTATGCCACCACAGAGGGGCACGTCCATGAAATACTTTGCTTCAGAGGAAATCTGTGGTCTCTGCCCGCTGGACTTGCCTTGGGCTGAGGCCAGGAATCGCTGCTGAACATCCTGTATGACGCGGCACGCTCTGAGGTCGCACACCTCGACCCCTGCCGGGGCTCAGAAGCATGATGGGAGCATAAACGCACCTAGTACTGGCCTGAAGGACTGAACTGTAGATCTCTTACTTTCTGACTTGATAGGATGCTCTTTAGCTGGCCAGCTGTGCACTTATACCTCAGGCTGGTGGTTGTGCTTGGGCTACTGTAGCCCCAGACCCAGGAAGAAAACTGTGAGTCATAACCATGGCGTTTGTTTTGTTTCAGGTGCTGCCGGAGTGCTGGTAGGACACCCATTTGACACTGTTAAGGTGGGTTGATTATGAAATACCTTTGTCTCTAGGTAGAAAACTGGAAGTTTTTCCAAGGAGTGGGGGAGGAAAAAAAAATCCCCAGACATTGTAGGAGCATAAATCTGTGCTGGAAAGCTTGGAGCGAGCCTCCTCAACCACTGTGTATAGATTTGCAGTCTCCAGCTCTCCAGAAGTGAAAGAATTCTTTGTATGTATGATTCAACCCAGTAACATGACAAATGTTGGCCTAAACTGCAAGTTAATCAGTGCAGTAACAATATTTGAAAATACGATCTTACATTTAACTTAATTTTTGTTCTAAGCTTGCTTCTCTGCAGCTGTTCATCACTAACTGCTAAAACTGCCTCTCCCGGCGTTGGTAACTCAAACTTACTTTGCTACTAGGTTGAAAATTTGTGGTTTGTTTCCCCCTCAAGCTCTGCTACTTACTCCTCAAGTACTAATTTGTTATACTATCCAAAGGGTGTAAGTGGTTAAAAATCCACAGCATGAAGCTTGTCTGGGGCCTTTTTCCTCCATTTAAGTATTATTATATATTTTTATAACTTTCCAAGTTAAAATGTATTTTCTAATAGTCACTTAGCCATATGTGTTATGCATGCTAAGGGTAGCTAGGACCTGTTCAAAGATAAGATTTGAAATCTCCTGGAGGGCCCTTCAGACAGGACTCACAGGGGTCCAAGCCCATTTTTCAGAATGGGATGATAACTTAAGTCACTTTTTGGCAGCCTTATCCAAAGTCTTGCACTGGAAGAATAGAGGAAGGGATGCCAATAGATTCCCTGCTAAATTAATATACCAGATCACTTGACTGCAGCAGACAGCATGCCATCCGCTAGAGCTATATTTGGAATACCTCTACCTTGCTGAATTTAGATATGCAAAGGGCTGATAGTGTTACTGAGGTCATCATCATATTCTGTATTCTAGCACATGGTTAATTCAATACAGATTTTCCTAGCTAGTGGATATTAGTCCTTGCCAGTCAGTGCAAGCTGCTCAAATAGTAAAAACTGTGTGTATGTTTCTCAGAGTATGGTAAATTTGACTGTTAAGTAATTGGGTTGAATTCTAGTATATGTTTTCAGGAATGGTATTTTCCAGACTTGCACATTTTTTTTTCATGGTGGTAGAGGGCCAGCTGTCTTTTTCTCTCAGCCCCGTCCTGCCAAGTTTTACGTGCTTAACTTAAGGTGACAGGTCATTTCACTGAAGCCAGCAAAACTGCTAAAATTCTATGCTAGACTAAAGTTAAGCATGTGTGGGTTTTTTTTGGTTTTAAAGTGCATGAAACTAAACATTTAAATGTCTGCAAAACTGGGGCTCCTGTGCTAGTTCTAGCAGATGTATTAATGCAAAATAGATGTGTTGGCTTTAGAAAAAGCATCTTGCTTTACAGTAGAGCAAGTAGTTTGTTTCTGGATGACTTTAAATGTTTTATGAAATCCAGTGTGGCACACTATATTTTCATACCCATTAGAAGGTGTTATAAGCATTTATCTGTTTCTTGTTAGAGAAAATACTAATGTTTATGTTATTAGCTGGCATAGTCACCACTGTATGTGGGAAAACTAACACTATAACCAGTCTTAAAAAAAAAAAAAAAAAGGACATTGCATAACTTGTTGTGTATGTATGTGTGTTAAGAATTAACCCTTTTTATAGTTCTGCAGTGTTTAAAGGGCTAGCTGGTAGTCACCTTAGACTGTAAGTTTTTAATATAACTGAACAATGGGAAACCTGCTTAGATAAGCCAGAATTTTACTTCTATCTTGGCTCTCTTTTTGGCTGGTGATCATATTTCACGAAGCGGGGAGGGGGATGGGGGAACACACAGGGAGAGATTAAGCCGGTGAAGTCACCCTGCGAAACCCACAACTGAGCTGATCTCAGAACTGGCAAACTCCTTATCCCTGGTTTGTTGATGTAATGTATAAAATTGCTTTTTTGCTTTTAACTGCCTTTACTTTCTGAGCTAGGGGCTGTCTTCATTAACAGCAAAAGTGTTACTTTGTTGTAGATGACAGATAAGCCTCATCACGGGAGAGTTACCTAGTAAGTATAGCCCAGGTGAACACTTCTGTTTCTCTCAGTCTTAATTTATTCCCAAATGTATTAGTTCAAATAAAGATCTAAAAGACTTATGAAGCTTTTTCCTTTTTAGTTTTAAACTGATGTGTCCCTCTTCTACAGCTATGGCATGGAGGGAGTGGGGTTTAAATATCACTTTTTTTTTTAATGTAAAGTCTTATTCTGAACCTTCTTTCTGGTATGCATTTCTGGCTATATATACTTCCACACACAGTGGCTCTAATACTGAATCTCAGGCACACTATTGTTGAGGTCTTATCCACTACATATCCTTGGAGGACGTTTTCATTGCTCAGACACTTCTGAATCACTTATTTTGCACATTATTAAATATTTGGACTGTTTTGGGGGTGTGGTAGTTTGGGTTTTTTTGCTTAGTCTTGAGTATCTTTATGCAAGTCTTCACTGATGTGAAATTACAGTGTGTTGCTATTGGACCTAAAACTTTACTAACAGTGGCTTCAAATAAGAAGGAAGCAAGAATATCACGCAATGAATAGAATAGAGGGTTAAACTTTGCACATGATTCAGCCTTCCTGTAGTTGTACACACTAAATAAGAGCTTGTTGAATACGGGATTAATATCCGTAAATAAATAAAGTTTCGTATACATTCATTGCCTGACCTGGCAGTTCGCTAGTGTGGGTACCCCGATGTGGTCATCCCCGTGCTCAAATAAAAGAGCTGTTTTTCATTCCTAGGCCTGGAGTGTCAGTACTTAACTTTCTAAATATTTTATCCTACAACAAGTCTTAATTGGTCAATATTTCACAAATTATTTAGACAAAAATAGCGAGAGCTGTATGCCACTAGGAAATTCAACCTATATATAGAATACGACTAATTCTAAACTATTAAAGACAAGTGTATAGAAAAGTCCAAGTAAGAAGGTTCCTAAGCTGCAATTCTCCCAAAGCCCATACATGTGGACTTCCCCTGACTTCACAGACAGGGTTTGAAACAATAGCAGTAAACTATAAATGGAGTAAAACCTTCGTTTTGTGCAATTCTGACAGCTTGTTAAGATTTGTGACTTTGCCTGTGGGTCTGTTTCTTGAGCAGTTTTAACAATCTGCCTGCCCCCCAAACATCACTTTGAGTAATAAAGGATTTATTTTCTTTGAATCCTACATCAGCCTACTTTTAACTCTAAGAAGTTTTAAAACCCTGTTCCATCTTGGAAGACCTGAGGTGATCTCAGCCTCCCACTATGGCTAGCGTACGCTAACGTGTATAGTAAAAAGATACTGGAAGCTAAAGTTTTGATTTACAAAACATAAGATGACATGTTGTAGGAACACAAAAAATACTGAAACTGTAAATAATTTATTTTTTGCCTCAAAGAAAGCTAACCTGAATATAGAATTCTGACAAACCATGCCCCCAAATCCTTTTCTAGACCCACATCATCTTACGGGTCTTTCATTGTTGTGGTGGGTTTTATTATTACTTTAGGCAAACAATGATAAAAATATTTTAAAGTCAGGAATCTTTCACACAGACCTGATAATCTTTTCTTTTGTTCAGAGTAAGAGTCTCGAAGTTCTTTGCCCTGGAGTCGCAGCGGCAGCATTAAATGGTTGATAAGCATCTTTTCTGAGGAACATTGCAGCCCTCCATGCTGGAGATCAAAGACAGATTTCTAACTTCCCCAATCCACTGAAACCAATTTATTGAGTTTATTGCAGTGTAGGGCTTTGCATGAACTAGGTAGCCTTGAGACTTTTGTTTTAGGTGTGCTGAGGACAAATTAGCAGGGAAAAAACCCAGAATTGGTCTTTCCCATTAAAGGTTAAAAAACATCTAGAAAAAGGGCCTGTCTCCTAATGTCAGCAGTTACAGTAGCATCTATCTGTCTGGCAGAACATACCATTTCAGTTTTGGAAAAGTTAATTGATTACTAACAGTAAAGGTTTGAAACAGCCACACCCTCGCAAATTGTTTGCATTCAGCAGGTTAAAAAAACAGATGAAAATTTAAAAGGACAAGTGGCTTTTTATTTCTTTCTTTATGCAAAGTAAGACATCTTAAGAGTCACTTCCCAGCTACCCTCTGAAAAAAAATCAGATCTCAGTGAAGGATCCCAAGTCTGGTAGCCAGAAACACAGTGGGTGGTGGTGTTGAAAGTTTCCATCCTTTTAAAACGATCCTTACTTCATGCTTGACTTGTAAGTAAATTTTTATAAAATTCTATCAGGTTTGTACAGATATTCCTTAGCGTGAACAGAAGTATTCTTGGCAGCTAAAGAAAGTACTTATTGTAGCCAGTACTGGAAAACGTCAGTCTGAAATTCTAGGTAACAGTGTACCCTGTTGTACTTCCACATACTTTTTTTCTAATATTTACAAGAAGTTAATAATCCTCCTCCCTTCATGTTTTCACCCCAAAATTAATTCAAAACACTTACAGAATATTTTTAAATTATTTTGCCACATATGGCATTCCAGTGTCCAGCCTGTGCTCTTGCATATACATTGCTATAGCAAATCTCAATATATGTACAAGACACTAGTTTACCAATTAGGCTGCTCTTGACATACAAATCAGTATCTCATACAACTTCTTATAGGTTCGTCTACAAGTTCAAAATGTAGAGAAACCTCTCTACCGTGGGACCTTCCATTGCTTTCAGTCCATCATAAAGCAAGAATCTGTAAGTACAAAATTAATGCTTTGCATATTTTGTATCTTCATACATTTTGTATCAGAAGGGTGGGAAAGCTGTTAAAAAAATCCTACAAACATTGAAGATCAAGAGATAAGCATACTCTGAACCTCACCTGACCATAGGGCAGATATTGTAGTCAGAAGTTTGCCAGAAACTTCATGAAGAATCATAGAATCATTAAGGTTGGAAAAGCCCTCTAAGATCATCGAGTCCAACCGTCAACCCAACACCACCATGCCCACTAAACCATGTCCCTAAGTGCCTCATCTACATGTCTTTTAAATACTTCCAGGGATGGTGACTCAGCCACTTCCCTGGGCAGCCTGTTCCAAGGCCTGACCACTCTTTCAGTAAAGACATTTTTCCTAATGTCCAGTCTAAACCTCCCCTGGTGCAACTTGAGGCCATTTCCTCTCATCCTAAAGAAGATCACTAAGTTGGAAGTTGGCATTTTTAAGTTAACTTTTTAAAAAGACAATGAGTTATTTGAATGGCTAATTTTCCAAGAATCCAAGCAATCTGAGCAATAAGTGAAGAAATTGGTGAGGGTTTTTTTTGCTACTGAAGCTTTAAGACCATAACTAAAAGGGTGGCTTTAGGCTTTTAGCTACTTAATAAAGTATAAAATTTACCAGAAAACTTTTCTCTGGATGGACTAAGATTATTTCCTGGATGTCTTCAACTATAAATTTGTACTGCTAAAAATGTTTAGATGTTCGCGTCCTACGCAGTGATGAAATTATTGCTACAAAGCAAGATGGTGCTGATCTTCTGGCCACTGTTAGAAAGTTAGGGCACAAGGGAGAGCCAGAAAGGCCATGTTCTGCACAGTTTCAGGAGGTTATCAATACCACCGTTAAAAAGGGTTTTTCCTTCCTTCTTCCACTAGGCTTTTGGACTTTATAAAGGTATTGGGTCACCAATGATGGGACTTACCTTCATTAACGCGCTTGTGTTCGGCGTACAAGGAAACACACTTCGTGCTCTTGGAAAAGACACTCCTCTAAACCAGTTCCTTGCAGGGTCAGCGGCAGGGGCTATCCAGTGCATCATCTGCTGTCCCATGGAGCTAGCGAAGACAAGAATGCAGCTTCAAGGAACAGGTGAATACAAACTAAAAATGAAGAACTACAAAAATTCTCTGGATTGTTTGATCAAAATCTATCGAAAGGAAGGGCTGAGGGGTATCAACAGGGGCATGGTCTCTACGTTCATAAGAGAGACTCCAAGCTTTGGCTTTTACTTCCTGACCTATGACTGCATGACCAGGTATTTAGGCTGTGAAGCTGAAGACAGTTACGTTATTCCCAAACTGCTGTTTTCCGGGGGGATGTCAGGAATCGTGTCCTGGCTCTCAACCTATCCTGTGGATGTGATCAAATCTCGGCTTCAGGCTGATGGAGTCGGAGGCGTTACACAATACAAGGGCATTTTAGACTGCGTCAGAAAGAGTTACCATGAAGAAGGCTGGAGGGTGTTCACAAGAGGTCTTACTTCCACACTTCTCCGTGCTTTTCCTGTCAATGCAGCTACCTTTGCTACTGTCACTGTGTTCCTAATGTATATGAGGTCAGAAGACAACCTTCGTGAATGTGAACCAGGTCCAGTAATCCAGCAGCCTTCCAGTTTGTGAACCTTATCTGTTTGTTCTCCTGATCCAAAGCCTGGCTGGTTTTTTTAAATGTAAACACTTGACCCGCACAAGTGGTGTAAATGTATGCTATCTGTATAAAGAATTCCTAAATGTGTCAAATTAGGATTTCATCTCATTACTTGTATAAACAGCATATTGCCTTATTAAGGACTTCATATCTAGTAGTATCCAAGTAAGATGGGGACCTGCCTTTAGAAAGTACTGTACAGTTACTGTTGCGGCTCCAGAAGAAGATCTGGAGAATGTCGTAGTACCAGAAATCAGGTTTTCTTCCACTCGTGTTCTGAATGACTGAGTTGAGTCGAATGCAGAAACGTTTTCAGAAAAGAAATACTCTTTTTGTATGTAACAGGAGTAAGTATAGTCCTCTAAAGTGAAGTAGGGGAAGGAAATTAAATGTTGGAGGCATTTTGCAGGTAACCCTGAACTGTTTAAGACATGGACTAGCATTCAGCTAGCCACGTGTTTTTCTTTTCCTCTGCCTTTACATGTCAGTGGTTTTAGTAGCAACCTTGTTAATACTGGTTTGCTTAAAAAAAAAAAAAAAAAAAAAAAATTTGTTCCTAAGCTACTCCCTTACCTTTCAGCTTTGAATAAATCTTAAGCACAAAGTAAGCATCTGCACTCATATGCACTTGTTCCTTTAAATCTCAAGGCTTGTAAGGATTTAGGGAAACTCAGATCTAGTAAGATTGATGTTATTTGCCTTCACCTCTATTTGTCGTTTGGTGGGTGCACAGATTGCATTGACTAGATTCAGCCCAAGTAGACTTTGTTCTCTGAAGTTAATGCAACTTTGCGCCACTTCTCCCAACATGCACCCTAGCAGCCAGTGATGTATAGAAGTCAAAGTCCTACCTGTGGTATTGCACAAAATGTTCATGGGTGCAATGTTAGCTTAGCAGCTTGAAGTACTGTAGAAATACGTACATGTTTAGAACTGGAGGTTTCATACCTTTCCAGAAAATAGGGGTGTAAGTGTCTGAAATGGTTGGTGTTCAATACACTTGCATTATGAATTTAAACAATACTGATTTTTTATGTATTTAGTTACAGTGCTACTGGAAAGAAGACTGAAAAGGGTTTTGGAGAATTTTCTTGTTACATTAATCCGCTGTGATTTTTTTTTAGTAGTCTGTTCAAGAGGGATTGCATTAGTCAGCTATAAACAGTTATTTAAGATTTGGAATAAGAACTACACATATTTGGCACAAATAGCCAGGGGGAAGGAGTGCGTGTGAGGAATGTTCTAAAATGTATCAAACTAGTTCAGTAAGTACAACTTGTTACACTTTTGGTTGGGACAAGTGCAATATGTGGTTAATTTATATGAATTTTCTAAAGAAACCTTATTTCGTAGCATTTTGCACTGTAACAAAATATGCTGGAGAAACCTGTAAAACTGGTATGTCTTTTTATACCTTGGAGGTATGTTGGATGTTTTAGTGCCTACTTGCACTGAGATTCAAATTGAATGTTAAATCTGTCTACTAAGCTGCATATGCACAACAACTCACAGCAAAGACCATTTACACCTTTGTACAGTATATAAAATTGAGGGAATAAATTTTTTAAAAATTTTGACTTTCGTTCCTTTAAGTTTCTTATGTTTTACTCAGATGCTTCCTTGTGTTACATCTAGCTTGCAAGAGGGCAGGGTTTCTGGCTTTTGCCTGAAGAAACTTATTCCCCGTCTGCCTTCTGTGCACCACCAGGAAAGACAGCGCCTTGCTCTGGCTTAGAGTGCATCAATCAGTGCGTTGAAGCAAAGGGAAGTTGCCTGAGCTCGCTTCTTCAAACTGATCTTTGCACCGAGTACCTCACTTAAAGATATTACAGGTACTAAGAGAACAATCCTGCTTTTAGAGCCATAGAGCCAGCAGCATGCTTGGACCCTTCATATTCTGTATTTATTTGGTTTAAGCAGTGCTGATCAGCACCAAGGCTGCAGAAGACAAGTCTAGGGTCCCTACAGAGTCACATCAGAATCAAGTACCAGGTGTGCCAACAGCACCGTTCATACCCGAATCAGAATAATGCTTGGCTCTAAGATGCACAAGTTTAGCAAAACGCTTTGTAGGTTGTAGTTTTTTGGTTTTAGACAGCGTAACTATTCCAAAGAGCATCAATAGTCGAAATAAAAAGCCACACAGGAAAAGCAGGATGATAGGTGTCATGACCTATGAAAAAGGCCTCTCATCATTTCAGGTACTGGCTCCATTAATTCATCTTCTTAAAGTGTAAATACACATGACCAAAAGAAACCCTGTCAAGCATCAGTTTGCTAGATCAGAAAAGGGAAAAGCCACCAAGTCAACTAACCGTAGGGCAGCTCCAGTCAAGTACTTAGTGTTCTCTCAGCAGGAGCAACAATGTTGAACTATGGCACAGAAACAAATACTTGGAATAAGTAAACAGTGTCTCCCTAAAAGACAGTTAACATCATTAAAACAGAAAGGGCTACACAATGTTTTACTTGCAGTTTGTTTACTTGTTTACTAAAACATTCTCTCCAGAAATTCATCCATCTGGAACTTAAAAGAAATAGTCAGTAGCAGACACTGGAGGTTACTCGACAAGCCTAAGAGGAAGGTAAAAGCCAGCTTTCAACCCAGTCTCATGTCACTGGCTTGAAATCTGTGCAACTCCTAACTATTAAATCAAGCTAGACAATAGCCTCAGACTTTTTAAACATGGTTCAGTTCCTTCCTGCTACATTTTTGCTATGTCAGCCAACTTAGCCAAGTCAGACAGAACTGAATTCTGCCTCCCCAGATCCTCCTTCCCACAAGCATCATCAAGCATCATGATACCGGGTAGGAGATGCTCTATTAATACCCCAACAACTGAAGGGAATAAGAAGGTAAAACTCACTGAAAGTAAAACTCACCTACTATCAAGTCCCCGTGCTCTACTCTTCCTTATGACCCACCCTGCTACTGGATGGGTCATACAGGTTGCAGCCACAGATACGCTCAGTTAGGACAAGAGGCAAAAAAGCACCCAGGTACAACCCTTCCAAGTTTTAAAGAACTTATTATAGTAAAACTACTGGGGTGAAATTCAGTTCATTTATCATGCCTGCAACCGTAACATGACAGTATTCTTTTTTTTTTTTTTTGGTCCTCTCTTCCTTGCCTTCCTCTGCATATAGCTTTTTTACAGTTCACATGAAAAAGTAGCAAGACATTCAAGGGATGAAAACCTGTACATTGCAGGCGCAGGACAGGTAGCATACTGGGAAAGTTACTAAGACACAAGTATAAAAAGTTGACCTTGCAGAGAAGGGATGTGTTTGTTCTTTGAAATAAAATATATTTAGTATTATGCTGGAAAACGGGTGTTAACAGCTGTTAGTCAGACTTTTGATCTGTGGATAGTTAAAGAACAACTTAAAGCCTAGAAGTGTGCCAAACACCATTAGATTAGCAGAAGGTGCAATTAAACCCCTCTTCTGCCAGAAAAACAGCCAGAGAAAATAGAAGCTTACCCAAGGCAACACGCCGTATCAAACACTACAGCCACGGAGACAGATGAAGGATCTAAGGGACCATATGGCTCTGGGAGGCACTGCAAGAGCGTAGGGACCAGAAAACTTGCTGGGCCAAACCTACTGGAGATCGGCTTTGAAATCATGAGGAAGCAAACTGCTTCTTTCACTGTTCAGGAATTTATGTATGTTCATGGGCAGTGGGGGAGGAAAGCAGAGGAAAAGAAACCATTTTCATCCTCCCAGTGCAACTGTTTTGCAATTTTTGTGCTAGTGTTATCCAACTAGTTTTGCATGAGTTATAATCAAAAATGGTTATCACTAACGGTAAAAAAATTAGCAACATAATATGCACAATAATACAAATGATATACAGTAAAAGCTTGTCTACTTATAGTTTATTATCAGTTTTAACTGATTTGACCTAGAATGTGGTTTTAAGCTATATAGTTTCATCAGTAAATAAATTGAAAGCAAGCAAGGCAAGGTCTGCAGTGAAAAATAACACCCTATACACTGATATAATTGGAAGAAAGGCAAGTTCTAATGTCCACAAAACATTCTTCAGGTCCATAAAACTTTACATCTAACATTTAAATTGCTTCTTGATATCATTCACTATTATTACTTATACTTTATTATGACTGTTTTTTCTTACTGAAAGAAACCTTCCATGGTTTTTTTTTTACTAACAGGAAAATAGGGTTGTACTATTTCAACCATATCCATGGGTCAACCGATAAAATACTAAAATCATAATGAAGTTCGACCTCATGGTCTGCACTGTTTGCTAAATATATCAAAATAGGACGAATTGTTGCTAGATTAATTTGACTTGGCTAGACTGAAGTTGGTATGAAAGAAAATCAGTATTCTTCTTCTAGGACCTGATTTAGTTGTCTTAAGCAGAGATTATCCTAGATCAGGTATACTCAAGTGTCGCAATCAGCCAGGCCACATACCTTCTTCCTTGTGCACTGATGTATTTTCACTTAAGGAAGAATGTACAACAGGTAATTTTCAAACAGGCTAGTAATAAAGTTCAAGCTTTTTAACTGCAATTAAAAGAGGTAGAAGTAAAAATAACTCTCTTACTCTTAATTTTCTCCAGATACCTGCTTCCCTGCCAGTTCATAACTGAGAGGCTGTACACTTTCATTTCACACTCTGGAAAAAATTGAGATGAAATCCCCTATTCCTAACCTATGCAAGAGGAAAGAATTAAAAAAAAAAAAAACAAAAAAAACCAAACAAAAAAACCCAATCAATCAAACAAACAAACAAACCCAAAAAACCCCCAAAAACACACAAGGAAAACCTGAAGACCTGCCATAGTATTATTCCTTACAATACATTTCCAAACTATAAACATTAGTACGCCCTTTCAAGCTATGGAAGTCATTGGATTCATATAAATCCATTGGAGCACCGGTTAAGTTTGAAGACTGAAGATTCCATGTACAAAGGCCAAATCTTCTGTTTTGCTAAG